TAAGCCACTAAAGAATTAGCGGTGATACGTTGTTTTGCATTAAGTCTCCCTAGATGCAAAGAATAAGTTTCACATGAATTTTTATATTTTTGTGTTTTACCTTGTGACCATGGTAAAGGTTTAACACGTTGAGCCTGGCATCGAATTTGCTGTCCTATCCATTCAGCCGGCAATGATCAGTCGGCTGCAATATTGCCGACTTAAATTATTCATAAATTATACAAAAAGGAAGGAGATGCACATAAAATCCGAAAGTATTGTTCGAAATTTTATGATGACAATTCAAAACTATTTGGATGCAAGATAGCCAAAAATGTTACCAAAATAGTTGTTTCGTATTGAAATATGTGTAAAGCTAAGCCGTATTTTTACTTAGAATGTTTCAATAAATTTCATTAAAACTACATTTGATCACATTTCGTTGAGACTATACTTATTTTTTAACTTTAATACTGTCGGTCCCGCGGACTGATGCCAGCCAAACGAAAATTCCAGTGCCGGTTCCCAGGGACTGGCGCCGGCCTCAGTGTGTTAACGAAAGGCAAAAACTTGCTTTAATATAGAGGGATAATTTTTAAGAAAATGCACTTAGTTATAATTAAATTAGGTATTAGATAACCTTAGTCATTATGGATTTACATAATATCTATTAATTAAATTGATATTACTATTAAATTAAATTTATTTTTTAATAATATTTGTTAAAAAACTCTATTAATATCACGATCTCATAAATTTCACAGTTTAAAATACATGCAATTTATGACATTGATTTTTAAACAATATTAGGATGATTACACATTAAAAGCTACAAAATATAAAACTCAACAAAATAATTATGCGTCTTTTTAATTTCAAGGCCTGCGCACACATTTTGGCTAATTTATATTGATTTCCTTCTCCTTAAGCATGTTTTCTAACAATTAGAAATTTGTCTCAATATGCAAAACAACGTTCTCATTAGTTTCTGCATGTTTTTATCTCCTAACTGCCAACCTCTCCACAATGTACTACCTATGAGGGTTTACTTGATCTGGTAAAAGTTAAATAGTCTAACCGCCCCTCCAACAGACATGAACAAATTATCACTATGTCTGAAAGTAATTATAAATCAGATAATAAATTTAAATAAGCTTCTTATTTAAAAAGAACTTTGAACATATAGGCCTGTTCTTATGCTAACAAAATAAATTACAGTTTGTGATGATATAATTAAACAAGTCAAATTCAAACTAAAAATATGGACTAGTCATTAAATACTATATGATTTAATTTCAATTTAATCTGGTTCAGTAACTCTATTGTCAACAACAGTAATGGAAAGACTAATAATTACAAATTATCAGAGCAGACAGAACTAATGCAGGGAGCAAGTGGAGGTCAGAAACACTCATATTGCACTCCAAAAAACTCAGTTTAAAAACTATCTGATTTGCATTCGAGTGAGGAAATAGAAATGGGAAATTATAGTAAAGGGTAAAACTGTAAGTAACTGGGTAATTTACATAATAATAACTGTACATATTTTTGAAGAATAATTTTCTTTCTCTTTACATATTTAGTTTCTTTTTTCAACATGTTTCCTTTTCACTTTAAATTTTTTGGGATTTAATTAGACTTCTGTTATTCTAAAAGACTAAATACATTTAGAATGTATGGAAAAAGGCCGCTAATTTTATTTCTTTAGTAATATGAACATTCAGAAGAAATATGAAATACATATAGTAAAGTATAGTCACAGAGCTGGTGTGGCATAATTTTTAGAATTTAGGGACACACTAAGCAACAAAATCTAGAAATGGCAAAACTTTTAGAATTTAGAGCAGGCATTGGAAGCAGAATTTAGAAAGGCACCAAGCAACAGAATTTAAGATCCACAGAGACTGTGTCAGGTGTCAAAATGCCTAGTGCCAGCTCTGTGTATGATGCATTAAGACATATTAGATGAATCTTTTGAATTGTCAGTTTTCAATTTCTTTATTAATAAAAAAATTCCTTTCTATAATGCCTGTCCATATGATAAGATTAGAAGTACTTCTGATATTTTCCATGCTTGTATCTAGTGAAAAGTAGAGAAAATAAAGGGAAGATAAAAATGTTAATAAAGCGATTCTAGAATCAGAAGTAAAACATTCAACTATTATGTTTTCATTGTTCTTATAGATGTTCTCCAAAATGTAAGAAACTGCGTGTTACTACCATGGAGACATTTTTCATTTTATCACATTTTTCTGGAATCTTTTAGAGTCATGGGTCTATAAAATTATCTTAAAATCTTTCTAAACTTTCCAAGTTTCAATGTCTAAAATCCTAAAGAAAAATTACCCCTACCAATTCTGTAACAGCAAAAAGCTAGAAATATTTTTTTAAAAAAATCGCAGGAAAAAAGTGTGAAATTAATTTTATAGAGAAAACTGATGCATTTCTGAGAATTCTGATCATTCTTCCCATGAAAAAATTAAAAAGACATTTTTAATTAATTACACAGCTATTTTGCTTTTGCTAAAAACTATTTTGTAAACTGTGCTTTATAGCATGTCTATAAAGATATATAGTCTATATATATAGTCTATTCATTATTCCTTACTCATTTTTCAGATTCAAAAACTTGTATAAAATGTGGCCAAAATGGAACTTTATAATATGACAGTGAAAAATTAAAATGCTTTATTTTAATGTTATTTCTTAAATATAATCCTAATATATTACCATTTTTTAATGACAGTGAAAAATTAAAATGCTTTATTTTAATGTTATTTCTTAAATATAATCCTAATATATTACCATTTTTTAATGAAATTTATCAATGTTAGAATGTTCTAAAAAATTGTCAAAAAATTCCTAGATCTTGGAATTAAAAATTTTCTACAGAAACCGATCTTAAAATCGCCAAAATGTTGATAATCACCAAATTTAGAACTGTTTAATAAAAGAATTCACATCCTCAAAAGCGGAAAGTTGTTTGAGACAAAAAAATAAAATACTTTTGAAATGCTTATGTTTCACTTCTTGCTCAGAAACTCGAGTAACCCACCATTATTTATATTACAAATAGGAACAAATTATAACTCATGAACCCATTCAAAAAATAGCCATATTTGTCAGTGAATTGTCAAAAATATTCCTGCAAAATGCTAATTCACGCTCAAAATGGCAGTCGTAAAAACAGACAGAAATTTCAGATGATTAAAAATTAAGGACCTTCTGTCGATTTTGGCCAAAATTAAGGACCAAAAATCTATTCCAAAAAACTTAAGGACTTTTAAGGACTCTTAAGGACCGTACCAACCCTGTTTTCATATTTAAAGAAGCATTTCAGTGGCACCATTAAAGAAATAAATATCTAACTGAAAATGCTTGATTGCAAATTACATCATTAAAGATAATTATATCTTTCAAATTAAGGATTGTAGAAGAGTTATATTTCTGAAGAAAAGGATACTCAATATCACACTAAAGCATGGGGAGGGAAGTTGTTAGATTAAATGAAATGGCTAAAATATACTCCACAAAATAAATAAATAAATAAATAAATAAATAAATAGACATTACAATAATTCCTTCCTTTTTTTAAAAAAAAGAGGGAATTTTTATTTATTGTTTAGTATTTAAAAAATTAACAGCTTACTTTTTTTAAATGACTAAACTGTACCACTTATTTTTTTTTTGGGGGGGGGGGGGTAATTAATTTATTTATTTTATATTTTGACTACTTTTCAGGAAATATTTCAAATTTTTCCTGACTTCTTTGGCTCCATAATAAACGTAGGTATATTTTTCAAATCTGTATTCTAAAATTTCGTTTTCAGTAAATACAGATTTTGAAATTTCACTTTAAAATAAAATTCAATATTAAGCGAAGGCTTTCTGTACAGTATTCTAATATGCATAATTTTAGTCCTCAGGTGAGCAGATTATTATAATTCTACTATATCAACCTTCCAGCACACACGCTATGCACAAAATTTACAACACATTCGGTTTTTAATGCACACTTTTGGCATACCACAGCTGAGACATCTGAATGTCATTTTTATTCCTCTTTCAACCCTTCCCCACATTATGGAATGTGCTAAAAGGAAGTCATATGACATTTTTTGTCTTTTTACTGAGCTTTTGTGCTACGTGGCAGCTTCTTTGTAAAAGTTACAACATGCCTGTGGTCGTAGGGGAAAATTCGGAAAATACATTTTCTTAAATATTTTGTAAAATTGTGTTATTAATTGACGTGCATTATTTTAATTTGTATAAATTTGAGTCTATAATTTTTATTTCGGTTTTCATGGTAAAAAAAAAATATGTACAATCAGCTGATTTTGCTTGCATTCTTCAAGAATTAACTGATGAAGAAAAAGAAGACAAGGAAACTTTTGGATGTGAGAATAATAGCACTGTTACTTGAGTGGAAATGATAACCTAATTTGAGTTGCTATATATGATAGGAATAAAAAAAAAGACACCATGTAAATGCAAAAGAATTGTTCTCAAGTGATGGCACTGGAATTGAAATAACAAGAGCTGTGATGATCTACAAGAGATTTTTATTTCTGACAAGTTGTTGATTCAATGATAAATCAACAGGACAGAACAGATAAATATTAAAAGTAACTTAGATTTTAAGATATAGTTATTAAGTAATAAATTTTTAAATTTTTATAATGAAATATATTGCTTTTCCCCCTGACTGATTTGAAAGTTTAAAAATAATTTACTATCATTTAAGTGTGACATCATTTGTATTTTGCAGTAATAAGGTTAATATTTTATGTTTTAACAAATTTATTATCAATATTCACTCATTTCTGTCATTTTTCATGCCCAAAACGGTAAAACAACAGATGTTGTAAAAAAATACAACGTGCGCGTGCCGGAACGTTAATATTTAGATGTGTCATTTGAATAATTTTAATTCTAATAAGCAGCTTCTACTGTCATCAAATTTGGTCACTTCAATTTTAGAGAGCAAATAATTTAAAGCTTAATAATAACAATAAACTTACGCTTTTCTCTTTAAAGCACCAGCTAGTAAGGTCTGCTGCGATTTTTTCCCAGATCCAGCACCCTGCAGATTTAAAGTACGTCTTAAATGTTGTAATTTTGCTTCTTGCTCTTCTTCTGTGAGATGGGACACAGCCCGTCTATGACAAAAATACAAAGTATTAATTTAAAATCATAGAAAAATGGTTTGGTATTTAATTAGATACACAGTACCCACCGCTTATTAAAATTACTTCTGTTCCAAACGTATTTGAGTTTATCAAGCAGCTGAATGTAATAGTTGGCAATTTGCATGCTGCAAACTGTGATATTAATTTTTCACTTTTTACATAAAATAACAACAACTTATTTATTAATTAATCCTAAAATAATAATTAAAAAGGAACATTAAAATGAAACTATTTATATAATTTTGAAATTTATTTAAAAAAATTTTCTAAAAATCTTTCTATAACTACATTTTTAAATGAAATTTTATGTCTTAAGAATAACTATGCTATCTATTTTTGTTTCATATTGTTCAACAACAGGTTTTCAACTGTATTCCCAATTTCATAAAACTGCTGATAGCTTTCTGATCAGCACCTTTCAGTTCAAGATTTCTCCTAGACGTTGCATTGCTTTTCTAGATTTGATTAATGATGGCGTGCCATGATTTTTTCCAGATTACTTTTGCCATCTATTTCCACAGTTCTTTTAACACTTTCATAATCAGAATTTATACAAGCTGTTTCAATATTATTAGGATCTGAAAAATATTGAATGTCATTTTTATTCCTCTTTCAACCCTTCCCCACATTATGGAATGTGCTAAAAGGAAGTCATATGACATTTTTTGTTTTTTTACTGAGCTTTTGTGCTACGTGGCAGCTTCTTTGTAAAAGTTACAACACGCCCGTTGTCGTAGATCCTTAAATTAATCCTTAAAAAAAGTTAATCCTTAAAACTTTCCCCATTAATATCTGAAACATTAGCTATAGCTTGCAGTTCCTCTAAGGTTTCTTTTATATAAAAGACACATTTTAAAAAACAGTTTTTAATTATGTTTTAAGAGATTGACTGCCTGCAGTAACTATAATATACAGGGCTAGGGTAAATGATTCATTCGTTTTGAAAAGGCTTTATTTTCAAAAGTACTTCACGTACACACATGAAAGATATATGAAATGAACCACAAACTTACCTAGTTTATACATTCTCTACAAATATTCAGCATGTGCCGCTTCGGTGACACAACACACGTCCACACAATAATCGAGCTCATTCAGTACATTTTGTAGCATTGTTGTCTAGATGTTCATCTTGTCAATTGACCAGATGTTTGAAATACCACGAAAAGCTGAGTGGAAGATTTTACGTCAGTGGTTGCATTTCAAACCATGTCATTTGTAGTTCCTGCAACAATTAAAGTTGGAGGATTACACCCATTACCGAGATTTTTGCTTCAACATTCACGAAGCATTGGGGGGATGAAGATTTTGCCACTAAGTTGATATTCAGCGATGAAGCAAAGTTCCACTTATCTGGGAAACTTGGTGAAATAGTGAAAAAAACTTAGCAGATATGTGGTTGTTTTCATATATTTTTCAGATGCGTATGCATAATACTTTTGAAAATACAGCCTTTTCAAAATGAATGGATCATTTATGCTAGCCCTATATATAACCTCTAGCAGAGATATCGACTTACAAATTTATCTCCTTCGAAGTCCTTACATCTTTATAGAATTCAATTCTGTTTATCATTTTCTAGACATTTCTTGGAACTACTCTTATATATGCTCCCACTTGGCAACAAACATCTACGAACTGCATAATCTAGGCATTGCGCACAAATCAACAAAATAAACTAAAATAAATTACAAACAATTAAAAAAAAAACAATAACAACAGAAATTCATAGTAAAAGAATAATGAACATAACATTCTACAAAATAAAAACAATAAAATAAAATGCACTTACCATAATACATTCATGAATAAAATTTCACCAGTCATAGAATGCCTGTGACAAAAGTGCCACGATTTTGCTATATCACATCTCTTTCTGTGATTAAAAATTTCGAAAGTAATGATAAAAATTTCCTCCAAACTTAACTTACTATATGAAAACCACGATGCAAATCTTAAATTCCCCTGATAGCCACATACTTTACCGGCAATCATTTGACTGCAAATCCACAAGTCTATCAGAAACACCATTCTTCGTCCGAGTTCTCATATCAGCTCCCCATTTCGGACATGGCAATAAAAGTCCTGACTCCCACAGAAATTCCAAAAACGCACTTCGATCCGCATAAACACACCCATGAACAAAAGTCTCGTTTACAATTCCAGCATCGTAGCTTTTAATACTAAATTTACTTTGCACACAATCTAAAATACCCGACTGAAATCTTGCCATCACATCTCTCACTGCAACATAGGCCATTTCAAAACACGCACGACATGAACCAAAGAGCAATTAAGCCACTGCAGCAAAAGAGTTAAGTTTTAACGTCAAAAGGGTTGCCATATAAACAACATCGTCCCTAAAACCATCCCATAGCACGCAATTGTGCCAAAAACCAGTGCAGAACCCATACCGCCCCATTTGGTGATGTTAGGGCATATATAAGTGTAGAGCCCATTTCTTTTGTAATGATATTTGAAAGCATTTATAATATCCTTGTCTCAAGACTGTTGTACAGTCAAAAGTCGTTATTCGGACACCCATAATCCTGAATGATCTAAAATCCGGACCTCAAAGCTACAAACTTTCTGCGCATGTGTCGCGCTGGCACATGTGCATAGGCATTTACGCATGCGTGTAAGACCTTTAAGGCTGTGCATATGCATGTGCGCATGGGCATAATACATTTATGCATGCGCGTTTAATGTATAATGGACGGTATAAGCTAAAATTATCTAATTATCTATTTCAGTTAATGCTGCAGATTGCGGTGTTCCTTAATCTTTGAATTGGATCTGGCTTATTATTTTTTGCAGACTGTTAGAGCAATTTTATAAAATTAAGCTTGAACTTTCGATTATGTCTTGTAGAATTTCCGATGCTGGAGCTCCCAAAGGATCGATGTCCATCAAACAAAAAGTGGAATTGCTGCAGAAAATGGATAAAGGAATATCCTTTGTTTCTCTAAACCATTGCAAAACCTGTTAATCAATTTCACGCTGCTCTACAGAGGGGGGGAGTCGCCTGGGGGTGGAAAAATTATTCAAAAAAACATCTTCCATTGGAGAACTGGATTTTCTAGAGGCATTTAACATTAAAAAAATCTTTCTAGTTAACGATCCTAATTCCAATCCATCTTTGCCTTCGGCCTTTACAGAAATTATGTTTTAGTTCTGGTTTCATCAACAGATGGCGCCACTAGCTTATTTTCTGTCCAGGCTTTCTTATCTTATCTGATCATCATTATATCCTATCTCATTCATTTGTGCTTTTGCAGCTCACGATGGTGGTTTGGTAAAACTATCGAAACTAGTCCTGTGAAAATTTGAAAATATAACGCTAATTTTTGTTGTTTGACTTCTGAATCAATAAACACTAGTTTACTAGTGTGAGTGTCTTATAGTTTTCTTTCCAAATTTTTGAATTGCGGAACTCTGGTGAAGACCATTCACAGATTCTTAATGTATGGTAATACTTAGAAGTATTTCGTGAACTATTTTTATATCTTTCTGTTAGCACAATGTGTCTATCCCAAAGGCATGATTTTGAAAGTGGAAACCTTAAAAGATATAATCCAGAAGTTGCATTTCCACGTTGCATCAGCTGGTATTTGAGAAGGAGTCCTCTCTCATTCACAATGTCTCTAGAAAATTGTTTTTGATAAAGAAATTATATTTCTCTGATAATTTCATCTGGATTCTATGGATTTCTAAATCTAGTGGGGACAAAGAATTCTGCAAAGAGAGTTTCCAGACATATGGATAGGGTAGGAAAATTTCAGTCAGAGCTGTTTTGTTGAAGCACTATATATTTAAACAATAAGGCTGCAGTCCACAATATGTTAAATGGAAGAGCAATGAAAAATCTTCATAGGTAGAAGTTGGATATTCTGGCACTGAAGATTGTGTCTTTTGCCAATCTGAGTTTCATAAATGGTGGTTTTTCTATTGATTAGCAACATTTGTTGCATTTGTTTTGATACCAGGAAATCTGAACATAAAAAGCTATTAACTAATGAGTTTAATAGGCAGTACATACTGTATACTTAAACACAACTTACAGCATAAACATATTTTACAGCAATCATAATTTACATATGTTGTGTCTGTGGTGTGGGTTCAATGAAGTGCATGACGCAACCAAACTAGTTCATGGCACAAACATTTATTTTCTAACTAACTCATAAGACAGCAGCGATGATTTACACAGTTGCATTACCTTCTCTCCTACTCTCGTTCACAGAGGTTCTCAGGTATAAGAGTACTGATACTCTCGAAATCAGATGCTACATCCCTCCCCACTTATTTAGCGATTTAATCTCTGAGGAGCCTTGCGGATGCGTGAAGATCGTCTAAGTTCTGGCTGGGGTTGCTGCAACTCTTTATCATGATTCATAGGAATGACTGGCTCAGTTTCCCTTGGAACTGACGATGTTTCAAGTCCGGCTGAAGTGTGCACAGCTTCACTTCTTTGTTCGATGTACTTGTCCTGAGCCTGTGGCTTCACGTTGCCATCTGAAGTAACAGACATACGAGGTTCATAGATTACCAGTGCAGACAGAACCTCGCTCCCTACCGATCTGATCAATGTGCCAGCGCAGTAAAGTTCCTTGAACGTCAATGGTATAATGCAAAGCTCCATCCTTGTTTGTCACTTCGCCAATTTTCCATCGGGAATTTGCCGATCTATAGTCCCGAATGGCAACCTTTTCTCCAATCTCAAAATTTCTGTCTTTGAAATCATAAGTATTCCTTCGGAAGCATTCTTCCACTCTTCTTCTAAGATTTGGAACAACTAAATCAATTCGAGTTCTAATTTCTCTTTTTAACCCGTGGGAAGGTGCATGGGGTGTAGCATACCCCACCCCTACAAAACAGTGGAATATTCCTAACTTGTGAAACCGGAAATTTTGTGTCCTTTTCAGTAGCTGAGTTTCTAGTAGTGTATGACCTTCAGACCAGGTTTACTG